CTCAAGGACACATCTACCTTTGTAGCCCAAAAGATAAACAAACACTATCATTGGACACCACAGTGCAAACATCAGCATTGATGTCTCAGCACGCAGCCAAACAAGTCTGGTTTGTTCTGAGTGCACCTGCGTGGAGGAATATCACGCCAACATCACACCTTTTAACGGCTTTAAATTGATATTGCAAAATGAATAAACCACAGTTTCTGTAATTAATAAAGGCATACTCCTTTTCTCCTGATCTCAGCATAACCACAGAAATATGAACCCTTAAGTGTAGACAAAAAGTTTCCTGCAGTGATGCAAGACTACGACAGCATGTTGACAGGCAATAATCAGGATAATGGATCATTTTCATAAACACTATTGGCCCTTTAACTGCTCCTGTTACTGTTGCTTGTCAAATCAAATCAACAACAGCTTTCAGATTAGTGTACCTGTTTATTTTCCATATTCCTTTTTATAGTCTCTACAGGACTAGGCTCCCTGTCCAAACTCTCCCACTCTCTGTTTGTAAAACTGTGACCACACTGTGTAAGAGTGTGACTTTAACAACATGTGTTTTGCACGTGTGGGAATTTGTGTCGTTATTAAACTGTAGGAGAGAATAAAATAAGATGAGCCACATTTTTAGATTTTGGCAGATGACAAACAAGAGGCTCAGTCCCAGTTCACCCCGTGCCTCTTCCATTTATGTTGCGTTCACTAGAATCAGGGAAACAGTAGACAGAAAAGAAGATATCATTTTAGCCAACGAGAGTGGGAGGGTAAAATTTGGAGATGCCGGCGGAAAATGCCGTCAAAACTTATCGTTAGACAGTTTTGCTGTTCAGAGTTAGAATATTGAACTCTTTGCCATCCTGTGCACCAGATGTTTCTTGACTCCCTCACACAAGAAGAAAACACGGGTGATCTGGACAATTACTGAGTACATTACTAGAGAAATTACATAAAATATCATTCCGTTCTTTGAAAACAATATGGTATCACTATTGCAACGTAACGTCAATCACGTTTTGTTTAACTGATTTCTTACTGATTTTTAACTGATCGCCTGACTCCATGTGAGTGCAGCATTAACCCTACTCCTCTATTTTGCATGTGTACAGGGAGGGTGTCCCAATTCTTGTTGAGATAGAGAGAGATCTTGTAGACCTGAGAGGTGGAGGACCCATGCCATTTAGGATCTTAAACAATAGGCAGGCATCAGTGTATTTTGTTAGGTTTTCCCAGCTGAGGATGTTATATTTGCTGAGAATGTGACAATGATGGTGAGTATTTGGTTTTCTGTCAAGCACTTTGAGAGCCTGCTTGTACAGAGAGAGAATGGGTTTCAGCGTTGTACTTTTTGCATGGGTCCAGCTTGTTATACAGTATGTTAGATGAGAAATGATCATTGCATTCATTTAAAGAAGCACAGCAGTGGATGTTTGACAGTTCCTCATATATCTAAAATTAGCCAAATTATATTTGTCAGTCTGCATTACTCTTTTACTTGGTTTTTGAAAGATAAAGTAGGGTCAAGGACAACGCCAAGATATTTAAACTCAGTGACTACCTTGATCGGTTCTCCAGCGACAAACGCTTCAGGATTGATATCCGATGTCGAGCTTGCTTTTGTAAAATACATACAAACTGTTTTCTTAACATTAAGAAATAGTTGAGACTCATTGAGCCAGTTGTTGACCTTCACCATCACAGCATTCAATTTGGCAGCTGCCAGTTTTTGCATGAGCATAAATAACGGTATAACATCTGAACTTCGCACCCTGTGCAGATGGATGGAAGATCGTTTATGAATAAACTAAACAGGAGAGGTCCCAAGATGGATCCCTGGGGCACACCCATAGTGACTAGCATTATACCAGCTAGCTATCATGTTGTATGGTGAAGGTAACTGCAACAAAACTTATTTTCAGTAGGGATGTTATTAAGTAATTTTACGTCTGATACCCCGACACCCATTAACTGTTAACTAACCAGATAATTTTTAAGAAAAACATGCAGATTGAGGTGAATACAAAAGGCCTTACGTTTTAGTGCAGCACTCTAGCAGTGAGCTTTAGCACCACATTTCAAAACGTTAACTCTTATTCATTTAGAGGTGGTGTTATAATGTTTGGTGACGTAGATGTCTTGCCTCTACCTGATTTTCTTTGGTCTTTGCTGACAGAGAGCCGTCTAGCAGCATTAACAGACAGAAACATAGTGCCCACTGCCCACCCTCTGGTAAGCTAATGTTAGTCTTGGCTGCTCTGCTCTGTGCACAAGCCGGGTCAGGTTGGAGCTAGCTAGCTGTGCCTCTCATTTGCAATCACTAATTCTAAAGAGGGTTTGAGGCTCATCCACCGAGGCAACCTGGGAAGAGACCTGAGGATCGGCGCAGTGTTTCCACAGCAGCCCTTATTGTGTAGACTTGCAGTGTTGCTTGCAGTACTCACCGAATAAGTGGCATTGCACTAGCTTGCTCCCACAGGAGCCAGGTGGAGCGCAGTGCAGTAAGTTAAGGAGTAGCAAAATTATCCAGTAGACCAACATGAGTAACCAGTCAAAAATACTCTGGGCGGTTAGCTGATTATCATTCAGACGTTGACATCCTGAGAATATTGTCTACTTGACATAACAGACACTGATCTAACAGCATTCCTGGGCGTCTTCTGTTTCTTACATTTGTCTAATTTGCTGCTGAAAACCGCTAAAAGATGCCTATAGCCCAGGCAAGAGGACTCACCACAGCTGAAGATGGCATGTTCAAAATGTCCGGCTCCAAACTCTTAATGTCTGTTTGCTTAAACACCATCAACGACTAATGATGACATGATCGAGTCTTGAAGGGTTGTCACATTTCACAGGGGGAAGATTTCAACCATTACTCCTTGTAACTCTGTTCTGAGGTGCAAAGCACCTGAAAACGACGGGCAGGGATTTGAATAAGAAATGTGATTGGGCCAAGATTTCATTTTGATTGACAGCAACTGTTTCTGCCCATCTGTCCATGTTTTCCACCCTCTAGTTAATTCCTACTGTGTGTAGTTCAACCAGAGAAACACCACAAACAAAATGAAGATTACTCAGAAGATAATTGGTGTTAAGTCCCCCTAGCAACCGCACAAGGCAGAAAATGTTACACAGACATGAAGTCCACTTTCACATTGAGCAGCCAATACAAATTCAAACCTTAATGCAGTCGCATAAAGTTAACATCTTTGCCATGTAAACACAGAAGACATCAGCGTCTCTTTACCCGTCTTCTCTTCAGACAAGATGAAACTCTGCCACACCACAATAAAAAAGGACTTAGGGTGTTTCAGTTTCTCACTGGGGGTTCTTAATGAGCACAAAAGCTGCGAGGCCTACGTGGGCTGAATCCAACACGGGATAAAACTCTGTTGTGCCCTCGGGCCGTGAATGTAAACACTTCAGTATGGCTGAAAACTGGCAGTGTCTCATATAATGTGTTGAGTATAAAAGAAGCTGCCAAACTGAGGATTATTGCTGGATGTTTTACATTGTGACTGAGTGAAGACCTGGAGGGAGCCGTCTTTACTCTGAGCAGTAGGAAAGCTGAGAGGTTGAGGCACTGTATCTCTTTATGCATGTGTGTACAGTGTGTGTATGTGTACCTTGAAAGACCAAAAATGCCCTGAAAAGATTTGAAGCACGTTTGGTCTTCAGTTCTTTAAGGGACTATTTTGGGAACTGGTACAGATTAATACACAATCTGAATTAGAAATAGCTTTAGATTAGATTAGAAGAGAGGCGGTGTGCATCTCAAGCTCTTGTTTACGGGGACACGTAAAATAATATAAAACTCCCATGAATATGAAACAACCTTAAACAAAACAAGATATTTAAAGAGTAGGGAGTGATGCTTGGTATGTAGCAGTGAAGGTCAGAAAATAAAGGGAGTCAGTAAATTGTCTTTACTAGGATAGTGTTTTAATAGACAATATTTGTGAGTGTGTTTTCGGATGCAGACTGAGACATTGTACCCAAATCCACCTGAGCAAGGTGGCCTGAGATCAGTTCCAGTTAAATATGGTTTGCAATATACTGTATACTCCAACAAGTAGAAAATGTTTGTGCCGCAACCTGTAATTATAAGTGGTGCTCCTGTTTTGTTGGCAAGAAAACAGGAAATATAAAATGCCTCACTAAGGTATAGGCCAAAAATAAAATAATGTTCAGCAGTAGAAGATGGGTGCGTGTTCCTTACTTTGGCTGCAGCACCTACAAATGGTGGGGCTTCCTCTAGTTGTGCTCATGTGGCTATGACCACCCATACGTTGCTCTCCAGCTTCCCTGCATGCATGAAAACGTGTGCCAACATTGTTTCCTAATAAGGAAGGTAAACACCTGGGGCCAGATCATAAAACTCAATGTAGGTTCACGGCTAAAACTGTGTATGCACAAAAACACAGACATGTACATGCATTCTTTTCCTCAGAGTTATAAAGACGCACGTAGGCATGATTCTGTTATTTCCACTCTTACGCATGTAGAAACATCCGTAAACATCAGTTTGCATGTTGTTACCTGAGTCGGCACCACCATTCATTAGACCTGTCAGTGAGAATTACAGCAAAGAACGTGCAATTTAACTGACTGTGTCGTATCAGTGAGGTTCTCCAATGGTGCCAGAGCAGCTGTCGTTATGCACAGCTGTGGATATTTGATGTGCACATATCTCTAATTCATCACATTTCTGCAAACCATCTTCGTGGTAAAGTCTCAATCATCTTTCTTATTAAATGGCAGAAAGATAATCTATGATTCATTCACAGCGCTCATGTTGAAACTTTACAAAGTGCTTCACAACATTAAAACTTAATCATTAACAGGGTGATGATGGCTCAAATGTAAATGAAAATAATAATGAAATTCATCACTTACAAATAACTTAAAATGAAGCTTGTAAATGTGCCTTTTTTATGTAAGCCTGCAAATCTGCAACAATTTTTTTTATCTGTCTGTGTTCCTGAATGCCTCTCTCCTCCCAGAGCTGTGTGTACGGTGAGAACCGAACATCCATCCAGTGCACCACGCCCTCTCTGGCCAAACTGGCTCTGCAGCCGCCCGTGGTCACCAAGGTGGCGTTTGTGCTGGACGGCTACTCTACAGATCAGTGGGACCTGATCTATGTGGAGGACCCGCTCTTCCAGGACCCCAAACTCACATCTAAGGACAACAAGAGCATTGTGGAGCTCAAGGTATGTTTGGAAAAAAATAATTGATCAGCAAATGTTACATGCAGAACTACATCCTTTGGTAAAGATTAAAAGTCTTGCTCAAGGGAACTCCAGCAGGGCAGACACTTCCAGAAAAATGTGCACACTCGAGACACCTGAAGAAACTCTGTTTGGCAAGTTTAACATTATAAGAAAATCTCCATGTATGTTCTGTAGCAAATTTCAGAAGCTTTAAGGGAACCTGTTGTGCTCATTTTCAGGTTCATACTTGTGTTTTGGGTTTCTACTAGAACAGTCGAACCCGGGCCGCTGCGGCAACAGCCTTGTACATGGGGCGTGTGCTCTGACTACTAAGCCACCGACACCCCACCAATAAAAGCTTTTAAACACAACTCCACATGTTCCAGCGGGAATATGATCCATAATCGGGGAAAAATTTGATAACATTAGCAACCAAGACAGAGCCTACATATTCCCCAAACTTTAGCGTGTAGCTACATGTACGCTGGCAGCACTTGCAGCTGAGGAACAACTGTAATGGAAGATACGTCACTTTCTCCCATTAAAAATCACGGATAAAAGCCACTATGGAAAACCAGACATGTTTCAGCAAGAATATGATCCCAAATCTGGATGACATTATCAAAATCGGCAACCAAGATTACATGTTCCTGTGATGTTAGCATGTAGCTAAATGTAGCAGTAGCCAGAGAATGACTGGGTAGTGTGCAATTTCTCCACTTAAAAATCACCAATAAAAGCGTCCTGTTCCAGCAGGAATCTGACCCAAAATTAACAACCAAAATCAGTGACCAAAATCAAGTGTTTCCCTGATGTTAGCATGTAGCTACATGAAGCAGTGCAGGCTTTGAAGGTAAACACTTGAAGTAACGGGTGGGAGATGATGACTATATAAAGAAATCTGTAACAAGATGATGTCAGAGTATAGAGACCGAGCGCAATGCATCATAATCTGAAAGCCACGCCCCCAAAGGGGAAATGAGGCCCGCTTTCCCCTCACACCTTCCCCCTCCGTTTCCAGCCTGTTGAGTTTTCCCTAAGTCCAAATGCAGAAAAGTTGCTGTGTGGTGTGCTGCACGGCCAATAAGGCTAAAAACCCAGAGCTTAGCTTTTATCAGCTGCCCAGCAGAAAAACGGAATCTTGTAGAAGACAAAAGTGCACGAACAGTGACCCCCCTACACCTCCCTGCTAACCCTGGCTCATATACAACACTGCTACAGGTCTTTAGTGATGTGCTTGTGTTGATTAATAAAATCAGCTCCACAGATTTGTTAGACTCTAACTCTGTAAGCAGCAGGACACCACAGTTAACATTCGGAGATGTTTACTTGACTGGTTGAGATGAATTCACATTTTGGAAACAGGTCACTGAACTTTGCCTCCCAGTCCACACGTTCACACGTACAGCCGCCCATGGTCATGGTCCGGGTCAAGTTGGGAAGGAAACAATACTGAAAGAAAAACAGGAAGTGGAGTCTGTTTCCCATCGTTTACACCCCCCCACCCGGACCTCCCCATCCCTTCCCCACTGCTGTACCTCTCTATGTATTCTCTCTGATGACTTGCATTGTTCTGCCTACCGAGGTCAAAGCTCTTGACATATTAATGCCACTTTTCAAACAAGTCACCACGTTCCCCAGAGCCTGTTGTAGGAACACAATGAAATACATATTTCTCCTCTTTTCTTTCTTTCATTTTTTTGTTGACTGCAGCTCGACGGTTTGTGGCAGCTGTGCTGAACCTCTCGCAGGGGATCCTGGCTGCTTTTTTTTTTTCCTTCTTTCTCTCTTTTCCCAGACGTGACCTTGGCCCCGATGCTAAATCCACCACCAACCCAGCCTCTATCCCCCCTTCATCCCTCCCTTCAGCCCAGACAAACCCCCAGTTTTTACCCAGGGGGATGGTACCAGGCATCGCACCGAAACAGGCCACATTTAACGCCATCTGATAACCCTGCCCTGCAGTGGCCTCCAGTAAAGGGCAAATGCTGGGCTCATTTAGCACCATCTGATAACTCAAGTCCTGAAATGCCTCCAAATAAAAGACAAATAAAGGAATGTTTAGCTCTGACTGACAGCTCTGCAACAGTATGACGGCACATAAAGGAACCAAGCTGTTGATTTTGGCATGTGGCCAGGCTCTATCGCTTCACTGGAGGCTGAGAAGCATCTCCAATTATCATCCACACAATTAAGAGTGACTGGTATAACTGTTATAGCTATTTACTAACTTTAATGACACCTCTCTGCTGCGTGCACAGTATTGTCAGAGAGAGGGTGGTACTGGATGATCTTGTTAAAAAGTGTTGTCTTTGTGTGTGTCCTAATTGCGAGCTGGTTGGTGAATTAGTGGTCTGCGTTGCTGTGTGAGGACTGCCAGAGTGCAGTGTGTGTGTGTGTGTGTGTGTGTGTGTGTGTGTGTGAGAGAGGGAGAGTGCAGGAACAGGTGCGAGCCTCCACTCTGTATCAAATTGGAAAATCCCGAGCTGTCACGCGAGGAATGTGATCATTCTCTTTATTGCCCTCTGCTGCACTCAAACAAGTGTGTTTATGTGTGTGAGAGACAGAGAGATGGAATCAGAGGAACTAAAAGCAAATGAGAAGAGAAAACAACAACGAGTCTGACAGTGAAGAAAAGGAACAAATTAGTCCGCTTCCCGTCAACAACACAAAAAAAAAACCTCACTGAGTTACACATACACTCACGTGGGCATTCGCTGTGTGTGCTTCCAGTCAGATCTCAGAGGGGGGAGTGTGTAGTCGTCCCACTAGGGGTCACACCACTAGAATAAGTTGCTCTGTCTTACTCACATCAGCGGCAGAGAGCTCAGTTCATGCCCAGTGCTTTCGATCACTGTGAATCATGATGAACTCTGCCAGGAAGACAGACCTGAACCTAATTTACCTCAGGATTACTTCCATGACTCTTCTCTACTGTGTTTTCCAACAGATGTCTTTTTTACAAATCCTCAAACATCCTAAAAAAGCTGTGAAGTTGTTACTAAAAATGGCTTCACACTGTAAAGTATGTATTATTTTGTCAGTCATGCACCAATGTCACTTATTGGTCTATTAAAAGTCCTGTAAATGGTTTAAAAGCTGCACAAGGAAACTTTAAAGAGTGTGAGTGTTTAGGACTCTGATACGGAGGTCTGTACATCGCAGAGAACACGCTCCTTTGGCCTGTGGTTGATTTATATCAAAGTGAACTTAAAAGCTTTACCAAACCTCCCCTCACCCTGCCACCCTCACCAACAGTCAGCAGCTTCCACTCTGAACTTACTGTGTATGTCCAAATTAGATTAAATACTGAGCTTCCAGGCCCAAACACTAAGACTGTGCACCATGCAGACACAGTATACATATAATAGAGACCTTGTGACTTCATCTTAAACAGGGTATAGCTTTGATTAGGCCCAAAAAATCCAGCCAGACCAGAGGTGGGTAGTAACTAGTTATATTTACTCAGTTACATTTACTTGAGTAACTTTTTAGATAAATTGTACTTTTAAAGAGTAGTTTTAATGCAAACTACTTTTTACTTTTACTTGAGTAATATTGTTCTAAAGTATCAGTACTCTTACTTGAGTACAATATTTGGCTACTCTACCCACCTCTGAGTACATAATTACATATATATATATATATATATATGTATGTATATATATGTACAGTATATATAAGAATATATTTGTGTTTCTTGTGCCTTGATTTATGTTATGTTTGTAAAGATTTAATTTATTTTTGTTTTAGTTAAAGGGGTATCGTTTAAAATACATGAATTTGCAGATTATTATTTTTGATTGATTGATTACGTTCATGTTCTTATTTTACAAATAAATCAGACGTTACTCAACAGTTACTCAGTACTTGAGTAGTTTTTTCACCAAATACTCTTTTATTCTTACTCAAGTAATTATTTGGATGACTACTTTTTACTTTTACTTGAGTAATATTGTTCTAAAGTATCAGTACTCTTACTTGAGTACAATATTTGGCTACTCTACCCACCTCTGAGCCAGACACAACATAAACCTGCAGAGTTTCTGTCTGAGCCTTAAACATGGCAGTATAGTTTAGGGCCTGAGCCCAACTGAAACATTTCCACTGTACAACAGTACATGTAATTACAAGCTAAAGCCAACTCAACTCTTTAAAGTGCAGTAGGAGACATATATGAAACCTTGTGAGTTTGTTAACAGTCAGGCGGCGTAACTTCATAGTGGCTCTACAGCGTGATCTCTGTGTAAAAGGGGCATTTGTATTTTAATTGTGTGTATTCCCAAATTACATGTAATCACATTTCTGTCCACCATGTTATATTGGTGAGTTCCTGTTTGTCTGGGTACTCCTTACTCCTATATTTTTACGCATCCTTCCTTCCTGTTGGACCTCACCTGACAGCAGAATCACCTGCATTAAGAGGTTTAATGTGACGTATCTCAGTGATGCTCCTCTCTCCTGCAGCTTGGGTGACTGACAGGTATCTTTCCACATAAAGATCACAAACGAGCTTTAATTTTGACATTTTATTTTACACTTTAAATAGTTTGTTGTCTCCTTCATTTAAAATGAAACTATGAGGTTGTTCCAGCTACTGTCTGGACGCACTGACCTTTGACCTTCGTAATAGTTGCATCTGTTGACCTCGTATGTCTCCCTCCTCTCTCTTCCTGTATCTCTATCCTTTCTTCTTCTCTTTTGCGCTCCCTCCTCCCCCATCTCCCTCTGTCTCCCCTCTTTCTTTCCACCTCTCCCCTCCACTGCAGGGTGACCGGATGGACCGGGAGGCGATGAAGTGTCAGGTTCTGACCGTTTCCAACCACAGCTGTGAGAGTCTGACTCTGATTGGAAACACTCTGGAGTGCACCGTCCCCACCGAGCTGCAGGCCGCCACCTCCAAGGAGCTGCAGGTGGAGGTGAGATACAGCTGCACTTCACAGACACCAGGACACATGTGATGTGCTTTTCAGTTTGCACTGACAGCCGATACACAAACAGACAAGAAAACCCTGTATAGAGATTCATACACAGGTGCGCGCACACACACATACACACACACACACACACACACACACACACACACACAGGTGTACGCACCTATACATACACTCCACCTCTCCATAACCTGTGCAGCAGTTATTCAACAAAGATACTTTCTTTAATTAACGCAGCCTTTTGTTTATAGAAACACCCAGTTCACCACAAATACACATCCACACCCACACACACACCCACACACACTCTTCACTCCGCTCAATAGCTGTCTTGTTCCAGCCGCACTCCATGTTGACAGCAGAGAAAAGCCTAAGTGTGTGTTTGAAGTGGTGTTTGGACGGCAGTGCAGGGTGTGTATGTGTGTGTATGTGTGTCAGGGTGTGTTAAAGTGTTTATTGATGTTCAGATAAATTTAATTTGCATGTAAGTGAATTAGGTCATTATCCCTCAAAGTAAAGAAAACAAGAGAATGCAAACAGGTTTCTATCACAGCACTCAGAGTGATGCAGCAACCTGTGTCCTGTAAAAACAGTAAATTAATTCACTCTTGAACTTCACCCTGTAAATCTGTCTTATTAAAATAATGTTTCCCTTTTAAAACATCTTGAAAGAAGAGACTCTGCCAGTATGGTGAAATCATTTTGACCTTTATCTGACTCAAATTCACTTGTTTCTTTTTTTGTAATTAAACTTTTTATTGACTTTTTCCATATTTAAACATAATCACACAAAAAGCCAGTTGCTACAGTAGATCAATGTAAAGTAAGTGACAGAAGAAAATTAGATAAAATAAATCCTGGCACACAAAATTAGCTGCAAAATAAGGTAAAGACTAACAAACACAATCAGCTTGTTTCAAACGAGGTGTATCAACACTTAATTGGTTGGAAACTGGTTGCACATGTCGGTCTGTCTGTTAATTTTGCTAGTCTTTAGTTCCCTCTGGTCTCCCTCAAAGTCGCCCCTGTGAAAAAGCAGCACACTCTCTTTAGCATGGTTAACTATGTTAGCACTGTTAGCAGCTAGTGGTGCTAACAAGTTAATAATGCTAAAGGGGTTTTGCGGCTCAAAATGAAGCCGCTTACTCACTGTGGCTGTGTGGGGAAGACTAGAGGGACACAGTGTTTACGCAGCATTGTCGTCCTGGTGGCTGGTTACCAGTGGTAATGCAAATGAGCAGCGTCCCAAGTTTGACTCCACCCAAACCAGGTGGTGCACAGTGCAGAGCAGCCAAGGCTAACATTAGCTAACTGTGGAGACTGTAGGGTGGACAGTGTTGACAACATGTTGTCACATGTTAACGCAGCTAGCCGGCGGTCTGTCGGCAAAACCAACAGGAATAAAAGACATTTATAACACAAAATGTTAAAAAATTTCACCACCTTTTTAAGAATAGCATTTTGAAATGTGGCGCTAAAACTCACTGAGTCAACAGAGCGTCGGACCTAAAGGAAAGGCCTTTTTTTTTGCTTCAAGGTTGGCTGGAGTGTAACTTTATTTTGACCCTCCTGAAGCTACCAATATTTCCTTGAGCCTCCCTGAGTGACTGGCGGAAAAAGCATTATCCTCCGTCCACCATAATTAGTTATTAGATTTTTAAAAACTTACCCTCTGACGTTTGAAAATCAGAAGTTGAAGACAAAGTCCTGGAGTTGCAAAGAGTCTCAGTCTTTTGTGATGTCTAAACTAGATATTCTGTGTCAAACATTTGCTCTGAGGCATTTAGAAACAACACAGCAGAGATCAATAAAGCCACTTATAATGCACTCATATGAGAATTCCCCACTGTTTGTATTATCAGGCTCACGGGAGGAATTTCAGCAATAAAAGGTATCATATCATATCATATCACAGCACCTGCTCCTGAGGAGGAAGAGGCTGCAACGACATAACACACTGTGATGATAGATGGAAAGAATATGTGCACAGTTTTTATCAGAATTGTTTTCAGTATATTTAATTGAAATTGAATTAGTTATAAATTAATAAGATGTTCAAGTTTTATCCAATTTATTTCCTAATTTCATTTCTTAGATCCCAGTTTGACAATGATAAAACAGACTGAAGACTGTGTGACTTTTCTGAAGCAGTAACAGGATCATTCTGCTGTCGGCCATATTGAGTTCTTCATTCTGCGCCGTGGGAATTTCATGGAAAACACCACATTCCTCCGGCGTTCCAGATCATTTACAGGATACTTCAATAACTCTCCTGTCCTAATGCAGTCCCTTATAAAAACCAGCTTGGGGAGAATTTATTATAAAGTGTGTTGAGTGAGACGGCTCAGCATCCAGCTGTCTTGTCACTTGAATATAAGTCAAGCATCCTCTGAGTCACGAGAGGCGGATGCACAGCGCAGAAATGTCCCACTGGTGTTTATTAATGAGGGTTTAAACAGGACAGACGTTTATCACCTGTGACTCATGCTGTGAAAAAAGAGATATCAGTGATCGTAAAACATTTTAATTCATTTAAAATGTGGATTGAAGGATTAAAGTGTAACTTAACACCCTCTGAAAATCTTGTTTTTACTGACCTCCAGTGGTTAGCCTCTCAGCTTGCTGCAACAGTGTACAGGTGTACTCCAGGACTCTGTGACATCACTGTTGGGTGTGGTCACAGGTGCAACAAAACAAACGTCAGACCACACCCAGCGTCAACTGACTTCAAGCTTTCATCCAGAGAGAGCAGTATGACACTGTTTGTCAACCTGGGGTCATAGTCACAAAGCTTCCTCGGACAGAGATGCTCCTAGTTGTAACATTTTTAAGAAAAATCTTGGTATTTTGATGTTTTCCCCTCACAGATAAAGCTGGAGTTCAGATTTTTTGAAGTGGGGTTGTATTAGGTATTTATCCATCGTAGATGTCAGTCAGCATGCCCCAGTTTGGAGAGGCAGGCTGGACTAAAATGACTGTTTTTGTCAATGGAGTCTGGCTTTGTAGAGACATAGATAAGTTTCAGTTCAGGTACCTGATGGAAAAAGCTGTTTGGAAAGTACTGAATAGACAGAATAGTGTTGTGTTCACAGAGAGCATGAAGAAAACAACAGACACGAATTCCCGCCGGGCAGTGCGATGGATGCAACACAAATGACTGGAATTAAGCAGCGCAAATGAGGCGAGTGACGTGATTTTGCGTCATATGCCTATTCGCGAGAGTTGAAAAATCTGAACTTCAATGACCAATGACACTGCAATAGCCAATCAGCATTGAGATCCTTCAGGGACGTATGACACCGAGATCATACTGGTGGAAGTTCATTCATCGATGCTGCGATTTCACACGATGCAAGTCAATACAAAATATTCTAGCGTTCAAACTCGAGTAAGGCGACGCAAAAATAATTCACGTGTTTGGTGTGAACTCTTTAACACCAGCACCACCACAAAAAAGGCAACCAATGACACCATTAAATGAATGCATCATAGCAAGCAACACAACCACACGTCCTCACGAAGTTCAACGTTTCTGTCTCTTCCTTGCTTAGAGTTTCACATCTAAATTAGGTGTGTGTGTGCAAAAAACATCAAGAGTTTAAAATGTAACAGCTGTCCAACTTATTCTAACCTTTGTTTGAGTCAGTAAATACATATAATTGATAAAACTCACTGTAAATGACAGTGTTAGAGCTCGTGGTTCCTTGTTTCCAAGTCCTTTTTCTTTGTTTGGTGCATTTTAAATCTTTTTGTGGATAACTGGCCAAAATGTACAAACCATAGCCCCATGTCAACGTATTTCCAGCAGCTTCAGTGGAGTCTGACAGCAGGAAATGTTTCGGTGATGTAGAAAATCAACAACAGAGTTCGATCAGAAAACACAGAGGGCCTCAAAAATAATATTTTGGACCAATATTCAACATTTATACAGAGGAATCCATCTTAGAAGAAGTAAAAAGATCAATGCCTGTACCCTAAACATACCAGAATACAAAGCAACTACAAGATTAGGGATGTTTTGAGCAGTGGGGCTGACAGTAATTTCACACTGACTGGATAAAACTCTCACTGAACTCATGTAAGGTTGAGTTCACGCTTGATAGAAAGGGATCATAAAAAGACATTCCTGCAAATATAGCAGATCAACCTGAAGTAGAAGTAGCTCAGGAAGAGATTCATATAGATGACATAACATCACACACTGATCCAATATTATACTGATTTTCAAACTAAAATGTAACTCATATTGTGTGTTCTGAGACTTCCTCAATAAATCGTGCAGCCTTGTTTGTTACAAACTCCAAACATCCCAGCGGGTTATAAGAGTTCTGATAAGAGCAATGTCTAACCTTTATGATACAAACTAATATTAGATGCTGCGCTTCAGACGTCCTCATGTCGTCCTTAGATATAATATGCTTGTGGTGAAACAGCGGCGTGCTCCAGACCAGACGTTATCAGCCTCGTCACTGTTGACTTGTGAACTGGCCCTCAGAGGAAAGCCTGTATCTCAGGGGATGGTCAGCCAATATCCCTCAGCTCCACAGACCTACACACACACACACACACACACACACACACACACACACACACACACACACAGCATCCCATCTGCAGCAGCAGGCAGTAGAAACCTCATTTCCACTAAACCTAATAACGGCAGAAGCAATATCACTGATGTAATCTGCCTCCAGCCTGTGGCAACAGGCCGTGTGTGTGTGTGTGTGTGTGTGTGTGTGTGTGTGTGTGTGTGTGTGTGTGTGTGTGTGTTATTGCATACCATATGTCTGAATGCCAGTTTCATGCCTCTTAAATGCTTGTGTATATGCCATGCATGACATACTGTATGAATCATGGATACAGTCATTGTTTATCAAGCATCTGCCTTCACGCACTGCAGACACTAAGTGTGTTTTTGGCGCTATACTACAGTGTGCGACAACTTTAGGAGAACAGGACATAATCAGACAAGTTAGCAAGAACTTATTAAATATAAAATGTGTAATGGATTTAAACATAATTCATTTTAATTCAATTCAGTAGAACTGTATTGATCCTAAAGGAAATTCTTGTGCCAGAGGATGCGTCAAATTACAGTAACACAAATTAAATTTCACAAACCAGAACAACCAGTGGGCTCCCCGTGTCAGGGTCACACACAGGGCCTGGTTTTTAAAACAATGGGGTTTTAAGTATCAGTCAAAATACTCAAAATATACAAGATATAAAGTGTTTAAGGAGCAGAAAATAAAACCCAGTGCCCAATAGCGTAACAATACAAGTACGATAAGTACAAGAGTTATTAAAAATGAACTAAAATGGTGGAACAATGAACACAATTAAAGGGAAATTTCGGTTTATTTCAACCTGTCTCCTATCGTCCTAAATTTGTTTCAAGTGACTAGTGACATAGAAATAATAGTTAGCATGTTAGCCGTTAGCCTAGATACAGCCGGGGGGCATAGTAGCGTCAGACCTGTTAAAACGTAAGTGAACGGGCAACCTTCAAGTGCAAAGTTAGTCCACTAAACAAGCTTTTTTTCCACAAAGACCGCCTCATATTGTTAGGATAAATGTTAGAGAACATATAGAAAACGACATGTAAACGTGTTGTCTTACCTTACCGGTGTGCTGCCATGTTTGTTTACCATTTAGCTCTGCTTTCCAAAGCGCGGCCGAAATATCGCGAGAACAAGCAGCGACCTCATACTGTGCCTGAAATCTCGCGAGCTCTAGATAAAGCCCAGCTGGATACTACTCCAGGTGGAGGTGTCTCGTCCTCGGTCACATCCAGACCTTGAAAATAAGGCTGCAACCGGTCCCATTCCTTGCAACAGAGGCATTCCTCTTCTGTGGGCACTGGGGCACAGCATTCACAGGTACACCACCAATCTCCAGAGCTACGCAGCCTTGCAGCAGCCATTCCTCCTCTCTCGTCCTCTACCTGTTGCGCTTCTCTCTCTCTCCTCCTCCGTTCTTCAATTTCAAGATGCTCTTCGTCAGTGTGTTCAGGTTCAAATAAATAAGTGCGGCCATCAAACTCTGCAAAATCAAATTCCTCCTCCACAAAGTCAAAGTCTGGCAAAAAGTCAGCCATTATTCTATAAATCTTTCATAAAATAAATGAATGAACTTTTCAGGCTACTGTCCGGTTCTGCCTTCCAGCTGTTGCTGCTTGTTCAGGCACGGTATGAGATCGCTGCTTGTTCTCGTGAGATTTCGGCCGCGCTTTGGAAAGCAGAGCTAAATGGTAAACAAACATGGCAGCACACCGGTAAGGTAAGACAACACGTTTACATGTCATTTTCTATATGTTCTCTGACATTTATCCTAACGATATGAGGCAGTCTTTGTGGAAAAAAAGCTTGTTTAGTGGACTAACTTTGCACTTGAAGGTTGCCCGTTCACGTACGTTTTAACAGGTCTGACGCTACTATGCGCCCCGGCTGTATCTAGGCTAACGGCTAACATGCTAACTATTATTTTTATGTCACTAGTCACTTGAAACAAATTTAGGACGATAGGAGACAGGTTGAAATAAACCGAAATTTCCCTTTAACCCTGATCCACTGTGATGCGTGCGGAGCAGAGTAGCTCCAGTGCACGCTGTTATGACAGGTCCTATGTACGTTATCCTGCACATATCATCTCGTCACATGATCACAGACTTGACACTGGATGACATCAACATACATGTAACCCAGCAATCATCACTGCATATCTGTATAGAACAAAAATACCACAGAAAATAAGAAATTAAGAAGTTATACATTTATACATCAATTTTAATAGTTGATATAAAGTAATTTTACAAAAATAAAAAAAATAAATACACATGACGGAGATGGGTTTGCCTTTTTTAGGGGCACATAAAACAAATGGCACTGTTTTTAATTAAATGAGAGTTCTTCTTTGAACACAGACATATTTTCAAGGTGGCAGTCACACATAAGGGCCCATTCTCCACCCAACACATTGTTGGAGGTCCACCTCTCTATGGGCCCCCCACTTCATGGGCCCCAGGGCAACTGCACTGCCTGCACTGTCTGTATTTACGCCCCTGATACAGAGATAAAACAATGAAAAACAAATCACTGCCCAAATATTTGCAGGCATGACTGTGAATTCCATGCAGGCTGTGTCCAGCTATTTGTCCATGAAGTGACGGCTGCAAAGACATTTCAGACAGACAGCTTGAATCATGCCGATCCTTCGTTTCATAACGACATTTTGCTGCAGCGTCGAGCGCTTATTCAGGGTCACCCTTATTCAGTAGTGATCATCCGTGTTCTTAAAATCTGCGTCCTTCACTTCATGACACCCCAAACCTCCTTGACTTGTTTCAGTGGCGCCAGGCGGACTCCATCAGACATCTGGGCAAAGTGACGCTGGCTCAGGAGCAGGACTACACAGGCCTAATCGTTGGCTGCGTGTGTGTCACCCTGCTGCTGATGCTGCTGGGAACGCTGCTCATGTGGAGACGGAACAAACACATTGATGGTAAGAGCTGCGACGCCAGGGTCATGGTGAGGTCATGGGGTCAAAGGTCAGTTCACTTCTGCGACATCCTAAACTCAGCTTTAATCTGAGACGGTGACCGACTGGCATCGATTTCACTTTATGTCATCTGCTCTGTAATATGATTTCAGTCAGACTCTGCAGTCAGGTCTGGTTCGGTTGTGAAATGTTTCAGCAGCTACGTTTGGGCCAAAATATTGACAAATTAGCAGCAAGAGTCAGAAGCAGACTTTAAAAGGAAACTTGGTTATTTTTTTTTAACCTGGACCCTGTTTTCTATGTTTTTGTGCCAAATGGAGACAACCATTCTTTAAACTGGACCACAGTGAAGCTGCACTTAACTTATAAGATTGATATAGAGGAAGCAGTTTGGATGAGAGTCAGCACCTCCAAATCTGAGGCCAGAAAATGGTGGGTTGTTCCCTCTGGGTTAGGGGAGAGTTACTGCCTCAGGCGAGGGGAGTTCAGGTATCTCGGGGTCTTGTTCACGAGTGAGGGTAGAATGGAGCGTGAGATGGATCAGCGGTTTGGTGCAGCTTCTGCAGTGATGCAGGCGCTGTGCCGGATTGTCGTGGTGAAGAGGGAGCTGAGGTGGAAGGCGAAGCTTTCGATTTCCTGGTCCATCTACGTCCCAGCCCTCACCTATGGTCATGAGCTCTGGGTAGTAACAGAGGGAGCTCGGAGTAGAGCCGCTGCTCCTTTGTGTCAAAAGGGGTCTGTTGAAGTCGTTTCGGCATCTGATCAGGATCCTCCTGGGCGCCTCCTGGTAGAGGTGTTCCAGGCACATCCAACTGGTAGGAGGCCGCGGGGCAGACCCAGAACACACTGCAGCAATTACATATCTCATCTGGCCTGGGAACACCTCGGGGTCCTCCAGGAGGATCTGTAAAGTGTCACTGGGAAGAGGGACGTCTGGGGTGCTTTGCTTACCTCGGTTAAGTGGATGAAAATGGACGGATGGATAAAGTCTCATGGTCTGTAGGAGGCTTTAAGGCACTGTGGCTGCAGCTGTCTCTCGATACTGGATCAGTTTAAAAAACTGTTGTCTCCATGAGTCACTCAGACACAGAAACCTGTTACAGTAGAGTCCAGGTTGAAAAATACAGAAGCTTCCATTTTGAATTTATTTATAACACGCTGCATATATGTGATGTGGTGTTCTGTCAGAGAGAAGTCCATCATAGTTTCATGTAGTTAATCTGCTGGACAAGTTGAATTAAAAGTGAATTGACCCCAGCCCCTGTGTGTGTGCATTAGTATTAGTGTGTGTGTGTGTGTGTGTGTGGGTGTGTCCAGTATATACAGCAGCAGGAGTTCAGTGTGTCCTCTCTAACCTGTGTGCATGTGTAGCTGCTGGGTTTTGTTTTGCCTGGTGGGTGTACAGTGAGTTTGTGTGTGGGGGCGCACTGGTGAAACGCTTTGCCTTTCTTAGTAATTCTCTCGTCTCTTCCCCTCCCCTTTATCTTTCCCCTCATCCTTCATCACTCACCCCCCTCCTCCTCCCTCACTCTCTCCATCACTTGTTTCCGTCCCTCTTTCTCTCTCTGTCTCATCATCCTGTCTCCCTCCTTTCCTCCTACGCACCCTCTTATCCCCCTATGTCTCTATCCTTCCTTCCTCTCTCCTCCCCCTCCCTCACTTCACTTCTAGATCTGTCTGAGGTGTGGTATGATGGCCGGGGTCACATCCAGCATCTGGACAGGCTGGCTAACGCGAGGAGTGTCAGCCCCACTAACGAAATGGTCTCCCACGAGTCAGTCGACTATAGAACAACCCTGCTGGAGGGTACGTCAACCAGATAAGCCCCTCCCCCACTGCTCACATGACATCTTCTTCCCCCCCTCACTCCCTCCCTCCCCTCTACCTGATCCCCTCCCTGTGGGGCTGAACGCTACGCTAGCAGTGCATGCCTTACATGTTCTGAACTAACACCCGCAGCCCTGAGGAAATGTAAGTTTTTTATTTTTTTAATCAGCTGATCAAAATCATCTGTGTACCCGATGTAGACCATCATAACCTCAGTGTTACCGCCCCCTGCTCACTCCTCCAAAACTGAATCTAAATTAATTACATTTTTGAAACTGATTGACGCAGTTTTCCTTCAGTCAGATTAAATGACACAGACACACTCGTGCAGTTTACTCTTTCCTCAACAGTGTCATCTCTGATGATCATAACGAACAAACAATCATAAATTTGCAAAGAATCTTTGTTGAAAAAGTAAATTCCCCATAAGTTCAGATATTACCTCATAATCATCTTTATTAGGCATCAGAAATGATCAAATAATTTATATTTAATTAATTAAACATGTTGGCTCTTTTAATAATTTAGCCACCACAGTAAAGGCTTTTTAATATTTCCTTCCTCGCTGATGTATTTATCAAGCACCTGGATCATCTTCCTGTGTGTCCTGTGTCCTCGCCGTGAGATTCTGATCTAGGTTTGATTGTGCAGAGAAACCATTTGTCTCTTTTTTTCCAGTCTCTATCAAATAATTGTTGATTTTCATGATGCAGATTCACCTAAATGAGCCTGCTGTTGCTGGAAATGAGTTTGATGAGAGCAGAGTTAATGTGCCGAGAAACTGAAACTAGAAAAGGTTAAAAAGCTCCAGAGAGCTGCAGAATAAATGATAATTCTCGGTGGGTTCATCTCTGCAGGTGACTCATTTCATATTACACATCGTGATTTATTTAATTATTTATTAGAAAAATGCTAATACTGAGGCTACCAGCACGATCCAGAGTAACCTGTGGGTAATAACAGGTTCTGTTCTGCATAATGTGGCCTGTCAATTCAAACACTTTGACAGTCTTTATTTCCCTTCAGGTGAATTGTCCATTCATTTCACTTTCTGTGGACAGGAAACTGAAAACCATCCCGTCTTGTTCACCGGTCATGTGTCAGATTTTTATGTAATTGTGATCTGTTTTAACACAAAGCTGACACAAAGATGAGAAAGAATGGAAATCACTGCAGCAGCTGCAGTACAAAGGTGGAAGAGAGCAATTTACAAAAAGACTAAAATAACATAACAGTAGGCAGTGGTCGAATCCTTTACTAAAATAAAAGTAGCAACACCACAGTGTAGAAATACTCTGTTACACCTGAAAGACCGGCATTTATAATCTTATTAAGTAAAAGTACAAAATTATTAGACCAAAAACTACTTAAAGTACCAAACGTACAAGTGCTCACTGTGTTCATCACTTTAATGTTGCAGCTGGTAAAAGTGGGACTAATTTTAGTTACTTCAGATCCCAGTTTATCCGAATCCAGCAACAGAGGAGAATGAAAATATTACAGCAGTACTGTAATAGTCGAGAAACACTGAGACAGAAACCAAAGAAAATACAAAAGAAATATTAAAAAATACTTAAAAAAGTAAGTTCAGTGTATCCGTTTTAAAATGAAAGAGAGTTTTAAAATGTGCAAAAATATTAATCAGGGGATGTTCAAAAGTTCACAGTGTGCAATTTGTAGAGTAACGAGTAACTCTCTAGTGCAAAGTACAATATTTGTCTCTGAGATGTAGCAGAAGTATAAAGTAGTATAAAATGGAAACAAGTAAAGCACAAGTACTTGAAAATTGTACTTGAGTAAATGTACTTGGTTACATTTCACTGCTGACAGTAGGAACAGTTAATAAAAACTAGATACCACTGAGATGCAAATAATGTGCAATCCAATATAAACAGTACGACTGCTTAAAAATCAGCAAAGCCGGTGAGTCCTGGATGATTTTAGAGTCTGTGTTCTCCTCACCAATGAGCTGACCACCAGTCTCGTCTTCCTAAACCTAAGTGTAATCTTCAGAGTCACCTGTGGTTTTGGTTTTCATACGTTTGAATCCTGAGGGCGTTGAGGGGGGGTCAGTGTATTATGATCCTGAGTATGATGGCAAAGTCATTTTCTGACCTCTTAAAAGTGACTTAAAAGGCTTAAAATGTGAGCAGGTAGATTTACTAATGAACTAATGCCTGTCCTCAGGGGGAGTCGAGGTGTAGTGGTTGGAAATTCATATATTGTTCATATTTGAGCTCACCATTATGTCTGTGCGTCCTCTCTGTTGCCTCCTTTGAAGGAGCTTTAGATATTTTTGCATGCAGTTCGTCACATTCATTTTCCGTGCACTAACATCAGCAGGAGAAATCAAAAACTTTGTTTTTCCAGCTCAGCTTCCCTCTGTCACCGTGTCAGGTTCCTCTCTGCTTTTGTAGCTCGTCTTTTCTGATCATGTATCACCTTGACCTCTGGAGGCCCTGCTGATACAGTCACTGACCTTTGACCCCTCCTCTGCTCCTCCAGATCAGGGCACCGACAGGCCCGAGACATGCCGGGGGGCTCCTCCCATCTACGGAGGCAATGGAGAGCTTCTGTCCCCCAGACTGGGAGCACTGGGAGGTGGGATGGGTCTGGGGATGGAAGGCGAGCTGGTGTCCCCACTGCTGATGGCCCCGGTTCACATCGACCCATCCTGCCTCCACCCTGACCTGCTGACTGAGGTGCAGCACGTGGTGATCGCCCGGGAGCAGCTGCTGCTCCACCTCAACCAGGTCATTGGCAGAGGTCAGTCACAGAGATGCTTTATTCACTGTCAAATACATCATTTAAAACATTCGTTATCACTGAGTCAGTCAGGTGGGGACATTGTGGTTATGTTCTTTTCTTTTGGACACCGCTGTGGTGTTTCAGCACCGCTTGCATCACTTGTTGCTTGTTTGAGCAACAAGTGATGCAAGCTCATGCTGCTTCACTTGCTCACACTTAAGTTCTTTTTCTGCTTACCCTGAACAAGGGGAGATTTAAAATGCATCATTTCTTGTTTGTCTCCCGGCCAAAAAAAAAAATGTTTGAGTGTTGCACAGTGGGAATAAACTTCCTGTCATGTATAGAAATCATTTTTGCTGTGTCGGATCGTTATCATTACGTAATTTTAACTTTTTTATACTGTCAGTCAGAGGTGTGGTCTCCAGTCACAAATTTGATGACTGTAGACTTCACAAAATTGAAAAGACTTGAAACTCAACTTTTACACCAGTGACTCCTGATTTCACTCGGACTTGAGCCCTTTGACTTGATACCTTCCCCGAAACCAAAAGATTAAGAAGTATGTTATTTAAAAGGTTCCTCAGTTCCTCAGGTCCTAGTTCTGCATTTTCATATCTCGTCACCACGGACACAAATGGGTCTTTCCTAATGCACTTTTGGCCGTGCCGAGTTAAGCCATGTTGTGCCAGGTTTCATTATCACTGCGTGATGTGTGTGTTCAGCTCTTAGTACGTCTGTAGCTTCTAACTGAATCTCTGTGGTTTGGAGTTTAGTTCCTCTCCTGCGTCCTGTTTTTACTTTAGATATCTGCATTATTTTACTGTTTCCTTTTTACCATCAGCCGTATTAGAAGTTATGTGAAGTTGCTGCTTGAAAACTCAACATTTCCTTATTTTGCTGCTTCACAATAAAAGTTTTTACATAGCAAAATAACAGGGGACTTTTACTGTGAAGGATGTACAGGAAATGAAATGTTTATCACTGAGTTAGTGGAACTTTGTTAGCGGCTTTTCTTTGATAAAGACAAGGAGGAAGAGTAAAAGCAGAAACAGCCACAGTGAGATGTTGATGAAGAGCTGCAGACAACAGGCTCTTACTGCACCTCTGCAAACAGCTCACCTCCAACAGGTGAACTACTTTTACCTGCCCTGCTGTGGAAAAATATGCAGCAACAATAACATGTCATAGCTAATTGTGGTACTGGATAATAGTGCTGCAGGCAATGCACGACTTGTTTTAGTTCAGTCACACTTGTTTTAACAAAAAGTAAACTTAAACAAATTTTAGGAAGTATTTATAACATTTTATAATCGTATATATTATTACTCTGTTGTTAAAGTGGCATTAGATTTGATGATGGGCGACTTGTTTACAACTCAAAACTCAAAGTTTGGGACTTGAGACTTGCTTGTGACTTGCAAAACTATGACTTGGTCCCACCTGCTCTGTCAGTACATTTTAAAAAGGAGGGAAAAATAACTACATGCAAGAACAAACGCTCAGTTGCTAACAACAATCCAACCCAGCTGAAAAACTGAATACCTGCCGAATGAATCAGTCTTTTTATTTGTAATCTCTTAATTCATCCATGAAACAGTCATTTCATCACATCAACCTCAACTTTAGGGTCTGTTCAGAGTAAACATTTACAATCTGTCTTATGTCAGAAACAAAATTTGGAGTCTTTTCTGTTTTGTCTGTTACATTTTTACAGGAAAAGTTTGTAACTACTGACCGTAAGTGCTAAAAAAGAGAAACAACAACGCAAACATTATTTCTCTACAACTACTTTGTGACTTGATTGTATCTGATGTGATCTTAGATTAAATTCGAGATTTACGTAAAGCTATAAAAAAGCTAAAGTCGCCCACAAAGAGCTTAATCGCCTTTTTTATCAAACCACAAGCTCGACATGCAGACACAAAATCACCTCACACTGTGCTGCTTCAGTAGGCGGGTCATACACCACAGATCAAATTCACCATCAAGAGGAGGGCGACCCCCCCAAACCCCTCCGTGTCACAGAAAACAGCCCCCTTGCCTCCCCGGCGCGGTTATTATCCCCCGAAGAAAAGCGCCCGCATTTCAGGGCAGAAGTTTTTTAAAGTGGCGTAGGATGATTTGTTCACAGCTAGTGTTCCCAGGCTCCATTGTTGGAAGTCGTAATCCAACACCCTCAGCCATCTGCGAGGACGTGATAGGAGAACGCCGCGCTCATTTTATTCCCGCACCCCTCCCAGTCTGGGGCGAGCCCTCGTGTCTTAAGAGATATAATTCAATAAAATGCACAATAAGTCAGGGAGGTTTGGCAGAGGCTGTTAGCCTGTGTGGGGTATTAATGAATTAAGCTCCAGACTGGGTTACTTGAGGGGGCAGATTTAATGTGAGGGTGATGGTAACTCAAGAGAATCAGAATTAACTGTGAAAGGTGTGAAAACAAGCAAAACACACACACACAGGAGTCAGACAGTTGATTTCTGTGGACAAACATGCAGAAATCACCTCAATCCCTCTGCTGCAAACTTTAATTTTTACTCGCCAGCAGTGGACAGAAATGTTTTTATCAGATTTCTGGAACCGCTGTGAACACGGAGCCAACTGGCAGGACGCATGATCTTAATCATAGCAGCTCTGTCAAGAAGACGGCCTCAACAAGCCAAGATCGAAACGGAGGATACTGATTGCACAATATCCAAAAATGGCCTGCAATGTCCTCCTCCTGCAGGCTCTGTTGGTAATTTAGATGGTGCCATACAGCTGCTACCATTTATGGAGCTGATTTAGGAACTGTGGTTTACTTACTCATCTGTGAGTACATTAAGCAACAAGCCATGATCAGAATCTGATTATAATTTATTGGCTGAGTATGTTCACATATATGAGGAGCTGGAATCTGGTAGCTCTCAGTGTGCTTCTGTGCGTTGCCAAAATAAATGTGCATGCTGCAGAGATGTTTTCAGTCAGAGAGAAGTTCAGATGGTTGTGCTGCAGTGTCTCCACTGAAGCATCAGATTTAATGTCTGCTGTCTGTTCAGCTCGGGCCTCAGGGGCGGATTATAAAACAGTGGGTCCCTGACAGTGTTGGTTCTGGCAGCTATTTTAGATTAAGTCTCAGTGTTGAGATGAAAATGTTTGTTAGTTTCATTTTTATCCTTCATAGTTTTAGTTGACGAAAATTCAAAAACATTTTAGTCTTTATGTTTTCTGTTGTTCTCTTCATTTAGATATTTTCTTCTACAACTCCAAATAATTTGTGCACACTTCCAATGTGTCATGTCTCCAGCAGTGTGTGACAGGTTTAAGGGCTGATTTACGAGCACACACTTAGTGATCATCATCTGAAAAGCTCAACATGTCTCTATTTATGCTCTCAACAAATAACTAATGTGAGCCAACTAGGATTTGTCCCCAGGTTCATTGTAAACTCTGACTTATCCATGTGACTGTTAAGAAGCAGAAACATAACTTGTTTCTTCATGTGCAACATGTTAGTCTGGAGGTTTAAACTGGTGTCCTCTCACAGAGTTGGTGATTCAAACTAAACTTTCAGTCTTGTCAACAAAAATGAAACATATATTTTGTCTTAGTTATTATCAAGATTTATTGTTAGCTCTTAACAGTCTGGTTTTCGTCATGGAAGAAAGGTCGTTGACAAAAAAAAATTGTCATTGAAATGAACACGTCCTTTGACACAGATGTGCAAAAGACGCAACCACCTCTCCTACAACGGAGCAAGAGTCTCTTCCTACTAACTGGAAAAACATACTGCAGGTGAAGTGAGTGGGACTTCAGACACTTTGGGCCCTGAATTCAGGGTGAACTGTTCAGGTAGTGCAGAGGCAAAGAAAAAAACAATCAGTACCTAGTTATGCCACCTTGGGTAAACAAGAAATCACTGGTTTACATCCTGAAGTACCGTCTGATCCAGGCTGCCATTGTTCACCTGCTTCACAGCTGAACTTCATCAGGATTTAAAATGGTGCATCTCATGTGTCTTAAATGGACCTCTGTCAGAGAGGCTTGTTTTGTTTGGAGCGGGAAAAACTTTATCTGGGAGGACTTTACAGGTTTGAACAGGAGCGTCTGAATTCACTAATGCTGACTAATATCTGAATAACACATCATGTTGTAACCTGCAGGTCATTTCGGCTGCGTTTTCCATGGAACACTCCTTGAGCCAGACGGGCAGAAGCAGCACTGCGCTGTCAAGTCGCTGAACCGTGAGTACAAACCCCTTTAACGAGTTCATAGTTCAGCCAAACCCTTTTTCACCTGAGCTGAGTTTGTCTGCAACTCCTTGTTTCACTTTAGAGCTTTTTGGGTTTTTTTAAGGGTTCTCACAGTCATGGGAAACCTGTCAAGGAATATCACAGTCACATTTTCCAGGCCTGTAAAAGTGATGGAATTTTGTGATGTGTAATGAAATAGTTCCTTTCACGTCGTGTAACATAACGGCAAATTTTACTTTCTGTCGCTGTTGATGCAACTCACCTCAAATATGCATCAATGTATGACAACATTTTGTTTATTCATTTTCTCCTTCTGCCTCTCCTCCTTCTGTTTATTTAGTTTTCATAGAGTTTGAATCTGTTGTGTTTAAAAACATCAGGCAGGTTTGTCAAGAAAAAAATGTATCATGGCTCCTTGAAAAGTCATGGAAAAGTTTTGACATTTTGTCCATGACAGTGTGTGGGAATCCAGTTTTTAATTTTTTATTTTTTTTTAAACATTTACAAGCTGTAGTGATGCGCAGGTCGGGGTTTTTTCCAACCCGCGGGTCCCGCATTTCTGAAATAATTTGACCTGCTCCATCCCTCCCGCACAACCGCATCTATTTTCATAACCCACCCCATCCCGCCCCCGCCGCTATTAACGTACCCGTCTTGTGGCTCTCATGCTTGTATAGCTTATCACAGGAATTGCACTTCACGTAGCCAATGCTGCTGTCGTCTGCTGCACTAACTACCTCACAGAAATTGTCCCAAACATGAGATTTAGCAGCTTGGCCTTCTTTTCTTTTAACTCTGTACTTCCTCACTCCATCTTCACCGCTTCATTGATTCTGGTTTGTTGTAACCGCTGCTGGGCACTTTTGTAACGTCAGGTCGCAGGTTACGTTACGTAACATGCATTTACCTAACCTACAACAGTGATGTTAACAAGTAGTCTATATCCGACATATTTAATCTTTAATGATCCACCCCGCCAATAAAGTGAACATTTCTTGTCCCGACCTGCGGGTTACGGGTCGGCCCGCGCATCACTAACAAGCTGCACAGACATATACATCCGTTACTGCGTCTGTGTTTTGATTTTAAATCTAAAAATCTAACTCATGCCGGCCGTACACCAAACAACTTATCAAGCAACATGCAGCAAAAATAACAGGGGACTTCAGTAGCTCTTCAGGGGACTCTGATTTTAAATGCCATCACTCAAGACAAGCTGTCATCAGTGTAAGACACACCCTCAAGAAGGTAGCCTTGTTATAATGGAATTGAAAATCCCGGCAACGCTGGGCTGATGGGTCCGTGTACTCTGCGGCCATTCGTTTTTCGTTTCGAAATAAAAAATTGAAACAGGGTTTTTTAAATTCCCAAATTAAATCGGATAATGGATAACAATTTGTTTTCCATTCTTCTTTTCTTTATTATCAAATAAAAAACAGGAGACAGATCGTTTTTTTCCTTTTTCGTTTGGTCATTTCAAAACAAAAAATGGATAATGGTTGGTTTTCTGTGCTTCAATTTGTTATTTCGAAACGAAAAACGAATGGCCGCGAAGTACACGGACCCTGACGGCCCAAACCAACCAATCGAGCCTATGACTGTCGAAAAAAGGGTATATGACGCACAAGACTGTAATCAAGTCTTGGTTCTCTTGTTCTGTGGAAAAGGAGACGTAACTGGTGGAGTTGTGGAGTGAAGAAGAGTCTGTGTTTAAATTGTATCTGATCCACCAACCAGCACTTATTTTAGTGAGAATTCTTAAATTTTGGAACAGCTCACCTCTTCCTCACCTCAAAATAAAACAGCACAGCTAATCTAACTGAGGCGAGTAGCAACGTAAGGTGACAAAATCCAAATTTAAAGTGGTGGGGGTTATTCTAGTTTATTTTATGGGGACTCGGGAGTTCCTAGTTATGACTCACAATCAAATGAAGCGCTTGTTTTCCAAATTCGCCCCCACAACACACACACGACACACTATTCTTCAAACATATCCACATCTGACCGTAATCATTCCATCTTACGTCTGCGTATATTGCATACTTGCTGTATGATATCACAACGCTCCAATAGCATTAAGAGTCTCATCTCATCAGAGCCCTGAATCCATTTTGGGCTGAGCTGATGGTGATGAATGGGCGTCCGATGGTGAGGATGACATTAGGGTCCCCCCTAATCGTGTAACCTGTCAGTTGGACCAAGGAGATTGATGCAGGAGTAATATGGGGGAGAGCTCGGTGCAGTCACACAGGGAGCCATCGAGCACAGCGGGATGAGCTGAGCTCAACCTGCTGGGGGTTTCGTCCTCTGGGATTTGGACCTTTTTATTACGTTTAGTGAATTCTCAGGGCTCTGTATTGTTTTTGTGTTCTTTTGTTATATTCGGGACCTTGAGATGATGCTTTTATCCTAATTAAACTGTTACTAAGACACGTAGGTGAAAGTAGACGAGACCAAGACTGTATCTCCAGGATGGTGGAGAAAGGAATCTCCTCACAGCCATGACGTAATGTTCGTCCTTAACCATAAAAAAAGAGGCTCTGAATCCAAATGTCATTTCTTTCTATCTTTGGGGTCAAACCTCAGCTGAAGGCCGATCAGCTGGTTCCTCCAGCCTCCATCTTTAACCAGATTACAGCAGAGTCAGTGGGGCTAAAGATCGGGACATCAGAGGCAGCGATGCAATTGGCAAATGAGAATCTGGCGTGGGTCAGGTCTGGGTGAGGACTTTCAGAGAGGGTTTTTTTTTTTCTGGATTGCCATCATCATCATCATCATCATCAACCATTTTTCCCCCAAAGGTTTATAAGGAATGACCTCCATGTTGATATCAGTACAGCAGAGTTGGTCCACGTCTAGATCTTTTAAAAAATTCCCCACATCACCAACTCTTCCTGCTCTTCACTTGCTCTAGACTGACTGTTTCTTCATCTACAAAATGTTGATGTTTTGTTTTTATTATTTTTTACAAAGGCATCACAGACCTGGAAGAGGTGTCCCAGTTCCTGAAGGAGGGGATCATCATGAAGGACTTCAGCCACCCGAACGTTCTCTCTCTGCTGGGAATCTGTCTGCCGCCAGAGGGCTCGCCGCTGGTGGTTCTGCCCTACATGAAGCACGGAGACCTGCGCAACTTCATCCGCGATGAGGGACATGTACGGGCACACACACTCACACAACTCAGTCAGCTGTTTTGTGTCCCAGTCCTCCAGTAACAGTTTGTGTTTCCTACAGAACCCAACAGTGAAGGACCTGATGGGCTTCGGGCTGCAGGTGGCCAGAGGGATGGAGTATCTGGCCAGCAAGAAGTTCGTCCACAGAGACCTCGCTGCCAGGAACTGCATGTGAGTTTGCATGTGTTCATTTAATGTCACAAGAGTGTGTGTTGTATCTGGAGCAGGCCACAATAGAGTTCGACTAAAATAGAATTAAGTGCAGGTGAGAAGGGAAGAGAATAAATAAAGGGCTGCTCAGGCTTAGAAAGAAAAGACGAGAAAGATTAAATGTGGGAAGAGTTGATTTTTAACAGCACAGTAACTAACGTCTTTGTGCCCCGACAGGCTGGATGAGAGCTACACGGTGAAGGTGGCCGACTTCGGACTGGCCCGAGATGTTTATGATAAAGAATATTACAGCGTCCACAACAAGAGTGGAGTCAAGCTGCCCGTCAAGTGGATGGCTCTGGAGAGTCTGCAGACGCACAAGTTCACCACCAAGTCAGACGTGGTGAGGAACCAGTTACATTTAACAGTCTTACATACTTTGAACAGTTTGGATAAGCTCATTAAATCTCTGCACCAAGATTGGAAAATTGTGTTGGGTGGAAACTTGTCTTGGTGGAGAGGTGAGCCAACAGCAAGTAGCTCAGCTCGTTACTAGCTATGGTCATTTACCTACATTGGACCAGATACCGGATATTGGCCCAACTCTAGCAACTGGGATTTCTAAGATAGGTGGCCAATGATAGGCTGTACACCTACAGTCTGCATCCTGGGGTGTGATCTTGTGGAAATGTGTAAAATTATCTCACCTTTTTCGGCGGTTTACATTTCAACAAAAAAGAAGTGACGTAAATAACTCCACAGAAGTGTTCTATAAGACTTCAGTAAAGAGTTTATTTTCTTGTCTTCCTTGTAGTGGTCGTTTGGCGTGTTGCTATGGGAACTGATGACCCGTGGAGCTCCACCATATTCGGATGTGAACTCCTTCGACATCACTGTGTTCCTCCTGCAGGGGAGGAGGCTGCTGCAGCCCGAGTTCTGCCCTGACGCCCTGTAAGCGTACACACATGTACATACATGTACTCACCTGTCATTCACCTCCTCGTGTAGCACAGTGCGACAGCTCAGTCAGTGTGAGTGATAAACTGTAGAGAGCAGCAGTCTGGAGTCAGGAGGGGGCAGCGGGGGGGAACGGTGGAGGTAACAGAGCTGTATAAGCACTGGAAGTCGTAAATAAAACCCACTCAGGTTTAGATCATCCATCATCTTCCTCAGCGAGCGTCTGAAACACTCACAGCTCCTCAGTGGAGCGTTACAGCTCATCACAGCCGTAGGTCAAATAAAAGTCAGGTTTCTTCGCCACAGAACACAAAGAAAGTTTCAGTTTGAAACCTGACGCCAGGATGGCATTTGTTTTTTGTTTGTGTCTGTTTGTTGCTGTGGAAGTTAAGAGCTCCTAAAGAGCAGCAGTCACACAGAACACAGCTGAGATCACCGGGTTTTTTTTTTTTAACTTCAGCAGAGTTTGAGGTTTGTTGTGTTTTCTTTGGACGTGTTCATGTCACTGTTTGCCAGGAGAAATCTGCGGACGTGCTTCAGTGAAACCAGAATGTTTAACTGTTTAAGTGAACCCACAGGTAGCTCTGAATTCAACCTGAGTCACAACCTTCAGAAAAGACTGGAAATCTTTTCTGCTGATAGAATACTGACGTCATCACAAGGCTAAAACAACGGAAACCTCTGTTTTATGAGTAATTAAAAAAATAATTCTTGTTGTCAGTTCGTCCATCTGTACCATTCTGGTGAATGCAGTATCTCAAGAACAAGGTCAGAGGTCACTGTGATCTTAGGTCCATCTGATTCTCATGAACGTGATATCTCAAGAGGGCCATCAAGGTTATTTCTTCAAATTTGGCACAAACATCCACTTGGACTCAACAATTAACTGATCTGATTTTGGTGGTCATCAGTCAAAGGTCACTATAACCTTGTCTCATTTTTTTTGATACAATATCTCAAGAAGACTATCAGGGACTGTCTTCAAATTTGGCACAAACATCCACTTGGACTCAAGAACCAACTACTCAGATTTTGGGGGTTGAAGGTCAAAGGTCACAGTGATCTTGCATCCCTCTAATTCTCATGAACACGGTATCTCAAGAGCTCCGTGACGTAGTTTCTTCAAATTTGGCACAAACACTTGGACTCAATGATAAATTGATTAGATTTTAGCGGTTGAAGGTTAGAGGTCACTGTGGCCTTGCATCCATCCCATTCTTGTGAACGTGATCTCTCAAGAACACCGTGTGGGACTTTCTTCAAATTTAGCACAAACATTCTGTTGGACTCAAGAATGAATTGATTAGATTTTGGTGGTTAAAGGTCAAGGTCACTGTGACCTCACAAAACATGTTTTTGGCCACAACTCAAGAATTCATACACTAATTATGATACAACTTGACACAAATGTCTAACAGGATAAAATATTGAAGGTCAAAAGGTCAAAGGTCAGCTTGACTGTGACATCATCATGTTTTAATGTCATATCTCAGGAACAGAAGGGGAGACATTTGGTCAGATACTGAATTGGTGACTCTAATCTTGAAACTGTGCTGATTGTATAGATCTTCTGTGTGTGAAGCATCTATGTTTTCACTGACAACGAGTAATTCTCGGAGGCGCACAGCCGCGGTAATTATAGTTTTTTAAAGATGTCACATCAAATCACAACACGGTAATTTAATATCAGTACAGCACAAACATCAACTCACTGAATTGTCTTTATCCATTAAACTCTGACCCACTAACTGTGAAACCAATGCCAAGTGTGATCTCATGCGGTGCAGATAACATCCTGAGGTATGCTGCACATCTACAGTGTGTGTGGAAATTAGAGGGGAGTGGGAGGAGTGTTCAGGTGAGGGAGGCAGAGGCCCAAATTTCCCAAGCTGTAAATTAAACAGAGACATCAGGAGGTGATGCACGTCCGCAAACATTCCCGTGATTCTTCACTCCTGATCGCTCACAGGGTGATGTGGTGATAGCGGTCCCTGGCAGATACCTTGTGCGTGTAGTAATGGGGTTTCTTTATTCTTAACAATGATACGACGGCTCTGCCAAGTGCGGGGGAGAAAAATAATAGCGGCAATATCAGAGACCTCAACGTTTGACAGGGCTAAGAAAAAAAGATTGATTATGGTGTGAAAGTTATCTTTGAGACACGCTTATATAGTTATTTCATTTCACATGCACAACACCTGCGAGGGAGGAATAACTTTACAGTGTGTATGAAATGAACCATTAATATCTGTTGTAGTGTTTCAGAGTAAAGCCTCTCTGATAAAGTTGAAAACAACGTTGCCTCTGAAGTTTCCAGGTTCACATGGTGCATAAGAGATGATTTATTGTAACATGGAAAAATGCTATAAGAGGAGAGGAGCAGCAGAAACATTAAACTGCTACAGGAATCCAAAAAAAAAAAGACGTGAAAAAGCAAATGTCAAACTAAAGACGCACCAGTTGTGATACAGCGACGCATGACTTAAAACGAATGTGGGCCAGGGCGTAAAATGGGGTGGCCCCTGCCCTGATTCCCACCTACTTCTGGTGTCTTTCCTCAGAACACACCCATCTTCAAATTCAAACATCAAAATGAAAAACCTATAAAGTTTTGTGACTGCATCGTGGACCGTTGTGATGCTATCCAGTTGACACAGTCTGTCCACAGACAGACATATCAGCAGCTGGCAAAATACTGGAAACCTCTTCTGTGGCAGTTTCTGCTACAGTCGGTGTCACCAGGACTTTATTTCACCTGCTGAACATATTATCAAAATTAAGTCGGTAATGAAAGTAAGAGAAACCAAAGGACGTAACAATGAAACTCAACAAGAGAAAACACTAAATGCAAGACGAAAATGGCATGTTGTTTATTATTAAGTAGCTGGTTTGGCTGTTATCAGTGGTTATAGGCATCATAGATACACTCAGTACGTTTACATGACACTTGAAAAAAACGAATTATTGCCTTAAACCGACTATAACTGGACAACTGAAGTGAATGTAAACACGTTACTCCGACTAATATCGGAGTTCTCCAACTCCGATTAAGACACCCAGATAATGCAATTGGAATTCGATTTTCTCCGGCATGTATACGCCTTAATCAGATTTAAACTAGACAATGCATGTGCGCATGCTCCACACCCCCCGCGCTGGCGTATGACCCCGGAACAGACAAGACATTCTATTGTTGTAGCCCTCCAACAGCATACGGCGTTCTTGTCTGCCACTCGAAATCACCATGACCATGAGGGATAGCGTGCACCTTATCTGCACGATCAGTAACGCGCACATTACTTACGAGATGAACAAAGCTGTACGATTATCCATCTTGCTGTTGTTCGAAAATGCCGGTCTGCCGCCTGACTCCAGTTGTTTATTATTAAGTGACGTAACAGGTCAACCGGAAAGGGAGCCGTATTAACCCGCTGAAACGACGCATATCGCCACCTAGTGTTGAGGAGGAGGACATGTTCCCGTCAGTAATTTGATTTTCTCAGTTGCATGTAAACTGGGACAAGGACAGAAGTCTGATTAGACGCCAAAATCAAATTTTGAGCATAGCTCGATTAAGCTGTGCATGTAAACGTAGTGAGTGAGAAGGGACCTGCCACATCTACTATTACATTCAAAAGGTCATTATAAAGAGCGAGAGAGTCTGTGATGGAAGGCTGATGGATGAGTAAAAATAAACACAGGACTTTCACCCTGCAGAGTTTGTGTCCTCTGAGAAACCTCCCTCCCACAGTCCAAAGACATGCAGGTTAATTGGTGACTCTAAATTGTCCGTAGGTGTGAATGTGAGTGTGAATGGTTGTCTGTTTCTGTAGCTATGTTTCCATCCAAAAGTGATGCGAATCATTGGGAAATGCGCATTAAAAGAAATACAAATCCTGTGTGTTTCCATTAAATGTACGGACTTTGGTGAAAACTACAAACTCGTGCGAGTTTTCCGCAGAACCGGAAACAAAACAAGTTTCGCATTCTTCTTCTTCTTCTACGTTTTCTGACGGTTGGCAACCAGCTTGTCAATGCATTACCGCCTTCCCAACCCGGAGTGTGGATATCACCATGGAGAGAGGTGTGCTACGTCAGACTTAATTCGAACATAACTGTTTCCATCCCCCGTTTTGTGAATCAACATTTTTTTGAATCAACCAAAACCCGGCTAAAGCGAATGTATTTTAGTTTGTGCGAATCAGGGGATTTTAATTCGAATTTTGGCGTTTCCATCATAATTTTCCGATGCAATACTTCTAGATGCGCATCTAAACAGGCTGATGGAAACATGGCTTATGTGTCAGCCCTGTGATAGTCTGCTGACCTGTCCAGGGTGAACCCTGCCTCTTGCCCTGTGTCAGCTGGGATAGGCTCCACCCCCCCGCCGCTAACCCTAGCAGGATAAGCGGTCGCGGAAAATGAATGAATGAATGAATGAATCATGTTATCTGTGGACTTATTATATAACTGATTAACTCAGTGAGCAGGATATTTAAATCTGAGAAGCTGGAAAAAGACTCTTCTCCTTTCCTCTCCCTCCAGTTACACGGTGATGATCGAGTGCTGGCATCCGAAGCCGGAGCGGCGGCCCTCCTTCTCCGAGCTGGTGTCCCGCATCTCCGCCATCTTCTCCAGCTTCAGCGGGGAGCACTACGTCCTGCTCAACACCACCTACGTCAACATCGACAAGATGAGCCCTTACCCTTCCCTCCTCAGCTCCACCACTACCACTGCAGATTCCTCCTCTTCCTCACCCGACCCCTCCACCTCCACGTCCCTGCCCACCCAGTCCCCGTTTTTTTGCCACGTGGAGCGAGAGTGCTGCACCTGAGCGAGGGAGGTGGAGGTGCAGTGAGAGAGACTCAGAAAAGAGCAGTGAGGGGATGAAGAACTACTGTATGGAAACACTGGACACTGTATGCTGAGGAAAAACAGCTTTCAGAGCTGTGACTGTTACTCAATGTACATAGATCATCGACCTTTGACCCTCTCGAGCATCGCCACATGACAGGGTCCTCCATGAACTATATGGCTGACCTTATGGACTTTTCTGACCTTTCATTGACCCCGGGGAGCATGAGGTCAGCTTCCTGCGTCCTCTACAAGACAGTTACAAGGATCAGGAACTCCTCCTCGAAGATTCCCAGCGGACAAAGCCACCGTCACAGAAGCACGACGCCATTCATCAAACACCCAAAAACAATCATTGACTGCTTTACCCACACAGGGAGAGGATCGATTTCTGCTTCAGCTCCTCTCTGGGTGGCATGTGCTTCGATACACACAGATGTGGCTCAGACCTTTTTCGCTGTCTGTAATGTGAATGTTTGACAAATGGCCATGTATTGTGTCGTGTAGAAAACGTCACACCTCCTGCGCCTGCACTCGACAGAGAGAAGGAAACCTGCTTTGATAGACTGTGGCGCCTCGGGTGAGTAAACCAAGGCACCGCGGAGGTCGATGGAGGCAGTGTAGGTGTAACGTGTGAAAAAAAACCCCTGCTGCCTGTGTGCAGTTCACTGGATGCTTTATTTGTATAATTGCATTTGGACAAATTGCTTTTTGCTTGGAAAAAAAAGCGTCTCAGCGCAGCCTCGCCGTGACTCACCTGTGTGAAATCCCCAAATGTTTCCAAGTGAAAAGGGTTACTAGCCAACATTCATTTTCCTTTTGTTTTTCTCCTGAATCGTCCTGTCATTTCATAACCGTAACAACATGCACACACCTGAAAGCTTTGAGGTTTTCTTGGGAAGACGAAGGAGAACAAATGTGAACCATGTCCTGCGTGTCAGATCTGTCTCTTTAACTCACACGTCACTGACGGAGAACATGCTCTACATGATAATAATCATACACAGACGAAGGACATGATTATTTTAACTCACGTTTGTTTCCTTTAACCAAAAACCCAAAAAGTTCATCTGCAGCATTTCATTAGTTCAATAACTTTGGTCAAAATTTCAACAGAGTTTGTTGTTCCTTTCAGAGCTTCAGCTTTACGTCTGTGTCCTCGTCTGGCCTCAAACCAGGAGTGTGTTGTTATGTGACTCTCAGTGACAGCTGTACATCACTGTAACTTTATTATTATGAAGAAATGTTTCAATGTTAAAAGGCTGTAGCAGCGTGTTTGCAGATTTTAGCTTCTGAACCACAACTCATGTAGACTTTGCACTTGTGTTGACCATTTTTAAACCATTGATTTCTATTCCAGGCAGCCTCTGACATCCACTCATTTCAGTTTAGTATGAAAATCTGATTCTTGAAATCTGAGCGTGTCATCCATCACAGTCAACATCAAATCTCCGTTAAGTTTTGTCTATGATTGTTGCGTTGTTATGCAGTTAAAGTGCAGATAGAGTGTGTGCTACAGTACGTGATACTGTAATGTAGAGATATGCCAATTGATCATCATATCGACTACTGATGATTAAAATGCTGAGGCCCCTGAGGATTTATATTTGAGGGCATATGTATTCATAAATTGTGTAAAAATCCTCATCATGTTTGCTGAAGTAATCTAGCACTAATTTCCTAAAAAAAATAGTTTTACAGCAGAAGCAGGGAAATCGTCGTCTTAATTTCACGCCTTCTTTTTCTTGTCAAAAAGTGGTGCCTGTTGGCGCTTCGTAACTCAACTCTTTCACCTCAGCCCCCGGTGGTTTATGATCCCTGCTGCTGGTGTCTGTGTCTTTCTTTCTTCACACCTGAACTAAACCACAGTGCTGTGCCAAAATAATTATCGCCAACTATGTTGCATGGTTGTAATAAAAAGTGTGAGTATGATAAAGTATCAGTATCAGATAGGGTTGGGTACTGTACTTGGTGATTTTAAGGGTATCCACCGAATTACATCGGTGCCAGCAAGTACTGATTTACGTTAAATCAATCAGTGCCAAATTGTGATACTCAGCCTTAACGATTGACAGTCGGTCGGACAGACAGATGTGTCACACTAGCCTCACGCTTCTAGTAACCGACGTCACTTAAAGCATTTTATCAGATTTCATTCATGACTAAAATATATTAGAATATATTCAAACATTTGCTTCCATCAGGGCATTTTGTGCATGTGATATATGATGGATTACACGACTCACAGTTTCAAGAGTTTTTATATTGTACTGACGTAAACAGAAACTAACGGCTGTTTTGAACAGGAAAAAAACATTACCTTTTCTAAAACACATAACTGATAAAGTAAAAATAATTTGTCACAAACTTGATAAAACTTTCAAACCACTGCAGAGGTCATTTCCCCCGTGTGTTTGCTTTGTGTAGCAGATGATGTCTCTTTGTGTTTATGTGAATGGCTGCTGATGTGACTGGGCCATTGACAGACAGGTATGAATGTTTGCTATGACAAGAAAATTGCTGTACTATATTTTTGTATCGATGATGAGCCTCTTGTTTTAAATCTGGTCCGACCGGAGGACCAGCGGGGAGTGGAAAGTGCCACGAACGACGAACAAAGCCAACTAATCAGTCTTTTGTTTTCTAGACAAACCACTGCCATTTTGTAAATAAGAGAAGGGATCACATGGATGTGTGTGTGGGCTCGCAGCATGCAGAGCCTGGCGTCTGGGCAGACGCTCATTTAGCTCCCGATCATTACGGTTAGATCACTGTGCAAACAGTAAAGAGTTAACAAACCTCACAGACTGCTGTCACTTTGATCATGTGATTCTCCAACACGTTGTCTGTGCTGAACACTGTCTGATCTCTGTTCTCTGTGTGTGTGTGTAAGATTTTGTTGTACATAAAAATTCCTGAAGGTACATGTTCCTCTGTGATGTCAAATCAACTTTGTCAGTGTAATAAAGCTATACTATCAGAGTTACTCCTGTTTTGTTTTGTTTTAACATAAGAAAAGCTGAGACAGAGCACAGCTGTACAGAAATTTAAAGGTACAGTTCATCCCAAAATCAAAAACGCATTTTTCTCTTACCTGTAGTGTGATTTATCAGTCTAGATTTGTTTTGCCGTGAGTTACAGAGTGTTGGAGATATCAGCTGTAGAGATGTCTGCCTTCTCTCCAATATAATGGAAATAGATGACACTCAGCTTGTGGTGCTCAAAGCGCCAAAAAAATAGATTTGAAAAACTCCAGTGAGGTCATAAACCCATGCAGTTTAAACCTATCCACCATATTTTTCACAGAAACACGGAGGCAAAACAGAACGCAGCCAGCTTCCGTTTTTTTGTGCGACACTTCCGGTCCAGCACTCTTGACCACTGTGTAAATGGGAATCGCCTTGTTGTTTACCTTGTTGAGTTTAGCTATATATATATG